TCCAAAAGTGAGTAGTACCTTTATTTTCTTGAATCAGCACATACTGCTGCCAGTTGCACGGATCTGCCTAACAGTCGTGCCTAAGCGCTGTGTACACATTATGGTAATACAGCCAGCAGCTGTTTGCCCATACAGGCTGATCATAATAATATCACTAGTTAATAAAACATGACACAAGGAGCTCCAGCGTTCCTCCTTAAATCTTAGTAGTTTAAAAAATGTCAACCCTGCGTTAAAGACCTAAAAATCTGATGGCCATGTCTTCTGAAAACTGAGGTGTTAAATACTGTCTGTATATGAATATCATATATGAACATATTATTCTTCCCATTTTTGCCACTGTCTGCACAACTTTGGAAATGTAACTTAAAGTCTCTCTGTGTTTATATAGGAAAGTTGGAGTCAATACACAATGCTGATCACAGAGGTCAAGGCTGAAAGTTGAAAACATAGATTAGAACAGCATATTTAACTTCTTTGAAAGGAGGAGAGAGGGAACCTTAGATATACCCAAATCCCAAACTAAATGTTTTTGTTACACTAGGCTAACAGCATCCATCAAATACTCACTGTGTGATTTTGTCTGTGGCTGAGATACTACACAAAGTTTTGCAAGGTTTGTAGTAGTGCAGCTTACAGAATTAACTATATTACTGTACTCTGTGTAGACGTAATGCAAACAGGAGAAAAACCCAGATACACAGTTTTGGCTTGGAGTTCATTCCTAACTACCATTCACTCCATGCTTATATCAATATTTACTACAAGATAATTCACTTGAAAACTTGGATGGATTATACTCTATCTCCTGGTGAGTCAATGAAAATTCTTTCTACAGGCAACTCTTCAGTTCAGTAAAACCACAACAGCATAAAAATGCTTTTTACCTTCCGGGAAATTTGTGGTCTCTTTTCAGTTTAAAGTTATGTAAGTGCTGATGATGCAAATGATCTCCTCACTACCTCTCTGAAGACAAGACAATACTCTTATGGTGTTTACGTACATTTTTATTGTTACTATAATTAGTCTACAACATGAGAACTGGCGAAGCTGTATGAGAATACTGCTGGCATGAAAAAGGAGTATCAGAGGGCATTTCACCAAGTTTTGAAACAATTCCATGCTCAAGTTAAGCAGACTTTGACTTTTGAAGCCTAAGAAAGCTTTCTTAAAAAGAAACAGCTCCTCATGCCTCTCTACAGCCGGGAAAACAGGGGCTGACTCATCCCTCTCTTCTAGACAGCAACCAAAATACAAAAAGCATGTGAAAATTCTGGTCTGAACTAAAACACTCAGAAACAGCACTCTGCAGAGCCGTGCTGTTGAATTCTCCCTCCCATGCAATTCTTAGGGCTGATTATGAAAATGAATATTAAAAACAAGAGAACTGTATTCATACTCTAACTTTCTTAAAATCCAATTTAAACTCAATTTTACTGAAGAAAAAAACAGACTCTGTTGCCTGTCTATCTCAAAAGAACTCAGTTTGACTTTGCAAATGCAAAATGATTACTGGACTTGAAGCCAGGAAGGGAAAAAAAAAAAAAAAAAAAAGCAGCTTGGGTTTTTTTGGTTCCTTTTGCTGTTGCTCTTTTAAAGCCAGATAGCAAATGTTTTTATCATCCAGACATTGAGCATAATTTTTTTTTGTATTGAAATTGTCATCCTTTCTATGGATTCCCTGAGACACTTGTGGCTGCTCCATGGCACAACGGGGAACCCCAGGGCGCAGAGTCCTGACCTCACGCCATGGTGCAGGACTGACCGTCCCACTGGAATGGAGCAGAATGAACACTGGTGGTGGTGATGCACAAAAGACCATAAAATCGAGCTCATTCCATTTAACTGTGGTTCTGCAAGATTAACAAGAGTGTAAGCTATATTTTTGTCCATAAAGTGGGCACATACAATGCTGAATCAACCCACGAAAGAAACCAGTTGAACAGGATCTTTTTTTGTTGCTGTTGTTATTTTATGGTGGCTCCTTTGGAGAACCAAAAGAAAGAGAACAGCATAGAAAACACCAGGGAAATATTTTCCCAAAAGATAAACATTTCTTTTTGTCTTTAATAAAAAAAAAGTAAGACTCCATTTCTGAGGAACTAGTGTTGTTTAGTCTGGAGAAAAGGAAGCTCTCTACAACTACCTGAAAGGAGGTAGTGAGGTGGGGGTTCGTCTCTTCTCCCAAGTAATGAGCGATGAGACAAGACGAAATGGCCTCAAGTGGCACCAGGGGAGGTTTAGATTGGATATTAGCAAGAATTTCTTCACCAAGAGGGGGCTGTCAAGCATTGGAACAGGCTGCCCAGGGAAGTGGTAGAGTCACCATCCCTGGAGGCATTTAAGACATGTAGATGTGGTGCTTAGGGACAGGGTTTAGCGGGACTTGGCTGTGCTAGGTTAACGGTTGGACTCAATCATCTTAAATGTCTTTTCCAACCTAAACAATTCTACGATTCTATGCTGGTAAAAGGTACAATTTATCAAGATAGGGTCTGCCCTTCTGATGCTTTTACTTCAAACCTGCAAGTTCCTGAATTTGCTGCCAGTCAGATGTCACTTATTTTTTGCTCTAATACTAAAAATCTTTTCTGGTGGCAGCTACAGGGATATTCTAAGGGGACAACTTGTGTACCAGCATTTGTAAGTAATCTACATTGCTGAATTAAGCATAATATAGCTGAGGCTGCCAGACATGGTCAATATCTAATGCTCCAAGGGAAAGCGAGTATCACTGTGATGCTCAGCTGCACAATGCTGCCTCTCCAGCTGGGTCTCAGTCCACATATCCATTACTTAGGGGCTAAGCTGACTGAATACCACACTCATATATGGTATTCATGCAAGATACATAGATAATATTATCATAGCTTATCAGTATTTTATCAGATTAATAATATCTAAAGTTTAAATACGTTCAATTCTTCAACAAGGAACTAGGGTTTAATTACAAAATGACAAGAAAAAAAATTCTCTCTTCACTTTCCATTTCACTGAAGTCTGGGCATTCCAACACTTTCAGAAAAGTGGCTTCTTGAGTATTGCCAGCTCAGCAGATAAATAGCTTTATGTCCATGAAAGTTGTGCTTTCATCATATTAAAATATGCAAACAGTACTGACATCATATTTCCTTTGGATGAGTGGGATGAAAGCATTAATTCCTGAGAAAAAATGGTTACAATTATTTTGTAAAGATGATCACTACACCAATAATTGCTCATCATCACTTTCCCAAATTGTTATGCCTCATCTGGCCAGCTTATTAAGGAGTTGTGAAAATGCACAAAAAAACCTGTAAAGTAGTCCCAGACAGAGCTCCCTATCCTGCCCCTATACAGATACATTTCAGTGTATCTAAATCTGGTTTTAACATCAGTTCTTTCACCTTGGAGCACATATACTGTAGATTGAGCTGTGCCATTTTTGGTATGTAATTTCTGCAAAATAAATCACACTAAATGTCAAGCAGATGTAGGGCACCAAAGTATTCTTGAGTGAGTAAAAATTCTATCAGATTTAAGGAACAATGTCTTTGGTTCACCACTGCTGGATTTGCTCCATCATGTTCACAAACACTGTCTTGATCCACCTGATCTAGACAACCTTCACTAACAGAACAGTGAACATCATCTACATCCTTTTAGAAAAAATTATGCTAAACAGAAATAGCCTAAAATATTTCACCCTTTTAATGTAGTAACATATAAAATGCATCTGAAATTGAGTAGGACTAAGGAGCAGTCTCCAAAGAACAGTCCGGAGTCCAAGTTCAGAATTGGGGCTAGAACAGGACATCACCAAATATAAAGAGGTCAGAATTCCTTTAAAACTAAGTAAGAAATCGTGTGCATCCAAGATGGCTTTCTAGTAGTGTGTATATATAAACGTGTGTACGTGTATTAAAGCTGTGTATAAGCAGTTAACCAAAAGGAGCTTAATACTTTTAGAGAGGCTAGTGTTTTTTTCAAGCATGATTTTATAATACACTATGGACTGGGATTTTTTAAAGATCAATTTTATGCATTAAAAAAGTAAACCATTCCTCTTCCCCCTAGGCAGGATCAGCAGTACTAAACCAATTTGTGCACATCATTTTTGAAGCACGATGCTCAAGAAACATTCTTAATACGACCTTACTGGTGTTAACAAGAATAAAAGAATGACTTTTAGATGTCTTAAGAATAGATGTTTCCCTGACTCACCATTCAACTGCACCCTATTTAACTCAGTGCATTTCTCCAATTTGTCAAAACCATTTTGAAGTCTAATTCAGTCCTCCACAGCATCTGCAGTCCTTCTAAGTATCATATGCCCACATATTCCTACTATAAAGCATTAGTGACATTATCTAGAAGATAAACTATTAGAAAACACGAAAATGTTTCAAAACATAAACATATTAACATTTCACTAGAGGAGACAGAAGTTGCAAATAATATCAGAAAAAGAATCACCACTTCACCCTGAATTCACTATTTGATAGCTCCCTGCAATGAAGGCCAAGACACAACATATTTAAAATCCAAAATAACAGAATTATTTGCATCAAATTTTGCAGAATCTTTACATTGAACTTTTAATTGTTTAGATAAAATATAATAATGAAATGTAAGAGCTCTACTCTTAATTAAAAAAATTGAAAGTAATAAAGAAGCAAGTCAGTTAACACTAAGTCTATATAAACGAAAGATTCAACAGACCTCCAGAAAAAATTCCAAAGAACAAAAATTATGTAAACAGTGGGATCCAATTACAAAATCAATATAGTTTTATTCAATGTTTCCTGTTACTCATTGATGAAAATACTCAAAAGAAAAACTTCATTGATTGGTAATGAGGTTCACATGTCTAACACTGAAATTCAGATCATTTCGTAATTCTCTCTTTCTTTAGCTTCTCAAATACCATTTTCCAGGTCTCAGAGGAAACATGACATCTCCTATAAACACAAATACCTTAGAAGTGAGAACTCCCAGTCCTGATATCAAAAGCATATTACCTCATTGCATTTACTTATTCGCCTCGCCACAATAAGCTGAATCATTCCCCGTTTGTTTCCTTCAGTGGACATGGACCTCCTTAAGGTTTCCATAGCATCTTGATTTGTTTTGCCCAATAATGATTCTCCATTTACTGCTATTAGTTGATCGTTCACTCGAAGCCTGCCATCCTGGAAAAGGAAAGATTAATGCTAGTTACATAAAACACACACAAAAGAAGTTTAGTCTGCTAAAGGAGAGAGGAAAAAAAACAAAAGAAAAATAATCAAACAACTATGCTTAGTCCTAACAGTTTATGGCCAAATGAACACTGATATAATAGAATCATAGAATCATAATGGTTGGAAGAGACCTCAAAATCATCAAGTCCAACTGTATACCCGATGCCACCATGCCTGCTAAACCCACTAAATCATGTCTCCAAGCACCACATCTAAAAGTTTTTTGAATACCTCCAAGGATGGTGAGTCCACCACCTCCCTGGGGAGCCCGTTCCAATGCTTAACAACTCTAACAGTGAAGAAGTTCTTCCTAACATCCAACCTGAACCTACCCTGGTGCAACTTGACAGCGTTTCCTCTTGTCCTATCGCTAGTTATTGGGGAGAGGAGACCAACCCCCGCCTCGCTACAACCTCCTTTCAGGTAGTTGTAGAGGGTGATCAGGTCTCCCCTCAGCCTCCTCTTCTCCAGACTAAACAACCCCAGCTCCCTCAGCTGCTCCTCGTAAGACTTGTTCTCCAGGCCCTTCACCAGCTTTGTTGCTCTTCTCTGGACACACTCCAGCACCTCAATGTGCTTCTTGTAGTGAGGGGCCCAAAACTGAACACAGTATTCAAGGTGCGGCCTCACCAGCGCAGAGTACAAAGGGATGATCACTGCCCTAGTCCTGCTGACCACGCTATTTCTGATACAGGTCAGGATGCTGTTGGCCTTCTTGGCCACCTGGGCACACTGCTGGCTCATGTTCAGCCAGCTGTCGACCAACACCCCCAGGTCTTTTTCCATTGCAGTCACTGTAGGAAATGTCTATTCCAAGTACAGATTTGCACCGCAAGCTATCATCATAAGCTGTTTGCACAAACAGCATACTAACTGAACTGTACCAGAGACAGCTCGTATCCTTCCTGAGAATCTGTAAGGGCTGTTTAAATCCTGGGACGTGCAAACATGCAAATCTGAGTAGAAATCTAAATGTTACCTCTGATGGAGTAATTGGAAAAAGCTAGTTACAGAGCAATCCTATTATTCTTCTTGAATCTGTGGTTATTTTCGGAACAGCCTTACTATGGAAAACTGAGGAAGACCAAAGTACACAGACACTCTCTCTTACCTTGGATGCCGCTCCACCGTTAATAATGGACTTGACGAAGATTCCTAAATCGGCATGGTTTTCTTTTGACCGGTTACCTTTGACGCTCACACCAAGTCCAGCTGATCCAGAGTCATTCAGTGGAACTTCAAAGGTCAGGAATTCCCTGGTGCCATCAGGTGTGAGGACAAGCTCCTCCTCTTCTGCTTTCTGTCAGGAATATTAGCATGGGATTATAGCAGAGCATTTCTCTTTGGGAATTCTCTTCCCTCTACAGCTATTAGCATTAAAAAAAACCCTGCTTTTAACTACTATGCCACAATATTTTCCACAGTAATTACTGGAAGAAACATGCACAAATAGCGTATTTTCAATCACCTCCAGCTGACGCCTAGATTCAGAAATGTCTTCTATTTGTGTCTAAGTGCTTCTCTGTCTAGTAAAATAATTGAATCATGTGTCATTACTGAATGTGCCATTAATACCAACTCACACGTAAGCTGATATTTCATTAGCCACAAGAGAGCTGTATCAGAAATATTTTCTTACTTGCAAACCTGCAGAATTTTTAAAAAATCATCATCTATGGTAGCTTTGCAGTCATAGGGAGAAACGAAGTGCAAGAAAGTTAAATAAAAAAATCACACATTCATACCTTATTTCGCTTAAAACTAGCTCTGTTAGGAAAAACAGAAAATTACACAGCTGAGAACTGCAACAGCACCTCTCTCTGCTATTGCCAGGCTTAGCATCAAATCCAGCTCTGAGTGCCAATTTTCCTGTTTTTCGCAGCTCTGCCCTTCACCTCTGTCGTCTTACCCACATCTTTGGTTCTTCACTACCCTCCACATGCAGTTTTAGCCCAGTTGGGATAACCCCAGGTTTTGAACACCTGGGAATTATAGTCCCAGGCCTGCCAGAGTCCCCAGCAAGACGCCACTCAGTGAAACCCTTCCATGCACCCAAAGCCGTGCAGGCGCAGGTGGGCGGCCTCTCGCTTTGCCTCCCGCCAAGCTCAGGGTGGCAGCGGACTGGGAGCAGGGGCCCTGCCATGTCCCTACAGAGCGGTGGCACTCGTCAGGGCAGCAGGCATGGGCACAGCACCCAGGAAAGAAAACGGTCAGGCCCTGAGAAGCAGCACTTGCACACAAAAGACCGCTGCCAAAAGGAGGAATGGGTGGGATGGGCTGCTCACCAGCCCTGTACCTTGCAGTAGACACTGTCCATTTGTCTCCGACCATCTTTCAGTTATAACAAAGCAGTTATAACCACTTTTGGTTGTAACTTTATCAATTAAAGAAAAAACTCATGCCCTTAAAGACAATTCTCTGCAGTGGGCCCAGTGTCTGGCCTCCAGAAAGCTGCTCATGAACCCAACTATGCTTTTTTTTTCTCACTCACACAAAGGAGAAAGAGTAAGACAACGTCCCCCAGAAGATGCACACTAATGTCCAACAATCAGCAGCTTTTCTCTGGAAGAATTAATCTGGTCATTTTTTTCATAATCTTAGCAAATATGTCACCTCCCTTACTAACACTGATTTTATATCGACTTTTCCCATGTCACTCTCATCTATTTGCAAAGCTCGCTCCTATTTTTCTCCTATTTCCAAATACTTGGAGTAGGACAAGACACATAAGAAGTAAATGTGCACCTGCTGGCCCTCCCTGTTTCTTAAAATCTGAGGAAAGGCAAAGCTGACAGGCTCTTCGGAAGTCCAAACACAGACTATGGCAAATATGGATGTGAAAGCCATGTGGAGTACAGCCGACTGAGATGACCAATTTGGGCACAAGCATGCTAGTTGTGTCACCACCGACCTAGAAATGTGATGCAAAAACATCACATGGGAAGGCAGTCAGACTGCTGAGAGAATCAGAACAGCCGAGGAAAGAAAAACAGGAGCTCTATCTTTTCCCACTTGGTTAAAAGCATGAACCTTAACATGTTTACCAGCCCCTTCCCTTGCACTAGACACTATTTGCTTATCTCTAACCACCTTTTGTTTATAGCAAAGCATAATGCTTCATCAATTGAAAAAAAAAAACTAACACGCCCTATCCAAGTGCAATAGCTACGTTGGCTCACTTATGAATCCCATTATCCAAATACACCTCTTGGTCACGCAAAACAGCATGATCTGTGCCAGCTGTCAGGAATAGAAAAGTGCCCTGTGTCTGTGGAAAAAATACTGGATCTAAAAAATATTTCCCAAGATTTGGGAAAATTACAACCTTAATTTTCCTGCTTGGGTCACAGAAGGACTAGTTACAGCACACATCTGAATGCATCTTTTGTCAGGTGGTTACAGAATAAAACAATCTGAGACAGATGCACATTACCTTTTAGTTTCTGTAGCACTGATCACTTTCATATTCCTTAATAAATAGCAGTAGGAATAAAAGCTTGAGAGTCAAAAGGGAGATAAAGCCAAGGTAGGACGTATGGGTAACTCAAGGAAGCACATAAGCTTATTGGATTTTTCTTTACTACTGTTATCATAAATTTACAATCAATCCCCCCTCTCCCCCAATATTTTCTAATCTTCTAAAAAATCTGCCAGAACTTCAGCCTCAGCAATCTCCCTTTGAAGGCAAAGAACTAAACCACTTCCCTGCACAGTCTGTCCCCGTTGGGTGCACTTCTATATGCCACAGGGTCAATTGGAGACAGCATCTCAGTAAGCATCCCCAAGGACTTGGTTAATGGCCTCTACTCTACTTCTCCTCAGCGAGACCAAAGAGCTGCTTTATCAGCTTAGCACTGTTCTTAATGTGAGACTTCTGCTTGCTTGTTTTCTACAGTCTTGAATAAGGAAATAAGCTAATATCAGGCTATAGACACTTGAGTGTGCAGGTGAAACTTAAGGCCCAAACCTGGAGCAAACTACTGCTTAGCAGCTGCACATGAGTGAGTAGAACATGCTCATGAAAAAATGAGAAACAGCAGCCTCAGCACTGGAACAGAAGTATTGAAGGCATGAGAAAATTGCTCGACTCATCCAAAGAAAAAAAATTACCATTACTGGGCTAAGGCTAAATTGCTTTGGGGACTTCATTGGGTATCCACAGCTTCTTTGAAATAAGCCAGCTTGTTTCACCACCATACTCGTGTCCATAATCTTAGGGACATGAGAAGGCTTTTGCCCTCCAGAATCTGTGTGTCATCTGTCAGTACCATGTGCTTGAATGTACGTTTTAAAAACACACAGAGAGAACAAACATTTCTTTTTGATATCCCACATTTTTTTTCTAGCAATACTTTGGAGAAAAATGTGGGTTTCAATAATAACTGAACCGTTAAGATTCAAGGACTACGGATATGAAAGTACAGACTCTAATATTTGTGCCACACCATGGTACCAAAGGAGGTTTTACTATACGATATATTGAATACAACTGCATACATACAAACCTTGGAACAGAACTACATAGTGATCAGGAACCTCTAAGCATGTCATAAAAGAGCCATTCTCAGAGAAATAAGCAGGAAGATTTTAGTCTGATACCATATTTTGAACCAAAGTTGTAAAAACCAAAACAAACCAACCAACCATCAAAACCTCAGACTGGCTGAACCTTTTGTTCCCCGAATCCCTTTAGAGCACAGAAACACTACATGTACAGTGAGTCTCCCCAATCAATTAAATAGCAGTTATTATAAAAAAAGTAAAATTTGTGCTGAAATTGTGTCAAACATTAAGTATCTAAATGTAACAAACCATAGAAATTCCCTAATGCATCCATGAGACAGCATAAAAACACACAAAAATCTAAAATGAAGCATCTAAAAATTTCAACTGAGAACACAATCACTTCCTAATTGCAATAACTTCCATTTGATCTTGATATACTCTAAATTAGCAGCTTCACTATGTCAATCAAACACCTCAACATTATTTTCATGATTAGTTGATCTGTGAGAGAAATTTATTCCTTCATATACTTCGACAGGCCAGCAATAAACACGCAAGCAAAATTATGTACTGTGAACCCTGAACAACGAAATTCAACTCCCTCAAGATTTTTCACACACTATGTCCAAAACAATTAACAGCAGAACAATATTCTGTTCAGACAGAGTCTGCTGAGGAAAAGGTCATCTGAAACGACTTCAGCTGGATGAATGAAGCTGCTCAAGTATGTAATTTGTAATAAAAATTCGATTGGTGATAAAATATGTAGGTGCAGGGGTTTTTGCTTCAAATTCATACTTAGCATCAATTTATGATAAATGATATTTGAGATAAGTTTTTCACTTTTTAAATACAACATAAATATACGGTAAATTTAAAGATAAACTTCCTGACCAGAGCAATCTTATGGCAGTGCTTCGATATACACAGAGTTTAAAACAAGCCATAAGATAAATAGGGGGGAAATTATTTTTCTCTTCTACATAACATTGGTTTCTGACCTGATCATAAAACATGATTTAATTTTATAAACAACGTTAAAATGGGCCTTGACACTAAGAGTGCAGTAAGTTTATCTCATCATATTAGAAACAGCATCTCCTTCTTATCCTTTCCTGTTTTAAACACTATGAAGAAATTTCTTGCTTGGGACTTCTTCCCTTTATAAAATCTCACTAGGGTTCAGCTGGTGAGTAAGCAGCATGAGATGCGTGAAAAAAGAAACCTAACAGGAAAGAAAAACCTCCTCCCACCTAACAGGGGAAGCAATTTTCAATCAAGCTGGGACAAGTTTCCAAAGCGGCTTGCTGCAGCTACAAATCCAGCTGCATTCTCTCCAGTGAAGTTCATTCTCTTGCAAGCTTAGACATGCTGCCTTCTCAGCAGCTATTAAGTCACTGAAACTTGTCTGCAAGTTACTTTGTGATTATATATAGAGAAAAGAAATAAGTTAATCACGGGACTTTCAGCAAAAATCCAATGCACTCCTGTTTCCTTTCACAGAAGTAACTAATAAAGCTCTGCATCCCCACTCTTAAACGGTAATCTCTATTTCCAAGTTATGTATATGAAAACACGTACATGAAAACATTTACAGGCCTCTTGTATGCACACATATATGCATGTACATATACAAACACACCCTTATATATACCACGATGGTGAAATTTACATGATAAATTATGCAACTACAGCACAAACCCTACCTAACGCCTCCAATGAGCCCATCTACACTATTCATTTTACCTGCCCCCAAATCCTCTTGTATCCGGCCTTCTAACATCACAGCCCTAA